TATTTTAACCATTAGTCCTGCTGGTAATCTGGAGGATTTAGGCAAACACAGCAGCACGGCGATGTGTCTGAATGTGAACGAACTCCTGATACAAGACAACATCCGCCAGTCTCCAATTCTCGTGCTGCTCTCCCGACAAAAATGCTTGCAGCACACACACAGCTTTGCTGTATGATCGGCCCTGACAGGATCGTGGGGAAAAACATGCAACAAACCCCATGGATCATGAAAACAAACACATACGAGCCTTCATAAACGGCTACTGCGTGCCCGTGGGTCCATGTCTCACAGCTTGAGCTTGGCACTGGTCTGGCAGGTCTGCGTCTGCCTTGCCTTCGGAAAGCGTGTGCTGTCATGCTCTCATGAATAATTAAGCAGCCGGCTCTTCTTATTGGATAAGGAAACTCCGCTTTGAAAAATAACGAGAAACCGACGCGTCATCATTGCACTTGAGGTACTTCGCTACGTCGCCGATTTTGATCCCTCCCCAAAAATCATTTTAAACCCGGAAGCTGAAATTAACTGACAAAAGCTCAAAACTATCCAGTTTTCCCCACAATTAAAGCTGACAGGTGCAAACATTGTCTTAACTGATGCTCAACACACACACACATCTGTTAATACAAAAAAAAGTTCTCCAGGGTGTCCTGAACCTTTAAATATATCTGGACATTTCCATCTCAATCAAAACACTTTTAATGTTAATGAGTGGAGAATCATTTACCTCAGTGTGTCCAGTTTACAGTGTTGACTCTTCAGTCCATCAGAGAGCTTCTTCACTCCTGAATCCTGCAGGTCATTGTTACTCAGGTCCAGCTCTCTCAGCACACAGTTTGAGGATTGTAGAGCTAAAGACAAACTCTTACAGCACTGAACAGTGAGTTTACAGCGCTGTAGTCTGTGTAGAGGACAGTAAAAGACACTGTATTATTGTGTGTGAGTGTGATGTAATTATTAAAGTGCCTATAATGAGTGATTTCTCCTCATAGGGAAAAGACTCCTTTAACTATTCAGAGTTGCTTTAATGGTCACATGGAGGAAGATCAAACATTTGTATTTCATTATTACATAAACTTTATAAAGAGAAGATCTCTGAACCAAAATGAGTCGGCCAGACAGATTTATTTATTGCTATTTCTGTTCTTATATTTCTGATATTTCAAATCCATTCAGATCCTCATATTTGTTAAACAAAGCAAGACTCTCATATAATATTAACAGACAGAAAATATGACTTTACAAACTGTACTGCAAATAAATCACATCAACATCTTCATATTAGTCAATAATATTCCTGAAATTAATATAAAACTGACTGAATATAACTTTACACACATTAACATTAGTAAATAAAGAGACTCAGTGATGGGCTGAACATCTGCAGAAACACAGCTCATTTAGACGCCCCAAAAACACCACAGAACACCAATCAATGATCATTTCAGCAGAAATTACACTAAAGAGCAATATTATATCTGATATAAACAGGGTTTCTCATATTTGACTTCACATTAAATATGAAATATTCACAATAAATAAACAGAAATAAAATACATCACAGCATATGCTCATTACCTCATCAGACTTTACTGCATTTCACAATGTAAAAGTCATTTGTGGCAGCATTTATTTGATGGAAATGTTTTTATTTTACCTCAGTGTGTCCAGTTTACAGTGTTGACTCTTCAGTCCATCAGAGAGAAGCTTCATTCCTGAATCCTGCAGGTCATTGATACTCAGGTCCAGCTCTCTCAGCACACAGTTTGAGGATTGTAGAGCTGAAGACAAACTCTCACAGCACTGAACAGTGAGATTACAGCACTGTAGTCTGTGTAAAGGACAAAGAGCAACAAAATCAGCAGTAAGAAATGAGCACTTTTGTCAGGCTACATCATGGTGTTGTACCATGGTGTTGGGCTGCAACCCCCACCTGTGGACATTGGGCCCTCATACCACCCTCATTTTCATTTAAACTAGATTAAACTAAACTAAACCTGTATTTCTCCATTCATATGACTGTAATTAATTATTGAACAGATTATTAATAACTAATCAGAGTGCATTTTACTGAGCTCAGTGTAAAGTTTAGTGTTTAGGCCTACAGTAAATGTAATATTAGAGGCATGTCTGCGGCGAGACGGCAATACTGTGTCTAAAATTACACTATTTCTCTGATCAGAAAACAAACACAATTATCCAAGAGCAACACTGTGTTAGATTTGAGCAAATACACATCAACAAATGTCCTATTCAGCTGGAGGAGCACAAGGATTTACAGGGATTTGAGTTCTTTTCCAGGATAAACTGTAAAGCAAATGAAGTAGATTATTAAACAAGTACAAATGTTGTTTGTGTGAGTAAAAAGTCAAGAAAAGTTTGTTAAATACGTTTAGAAATGATGAAATAAATGAGCAAATAAGGAAACAGAACACTGCCGCCGCGTCCCCATGCAGTAATATGGTGTATCAGCGATCTCACAGGGGAGATGGCCAGCTAAAGATTTTCTGTTAAAGCAGGGCAGTGATTCACTAAACTGATCTGAGTCTTCAGTGCAGACTTATGTGTGTCTTCTGTGATCAATCAATAAATACTCACAGAGCTCTTCTGCAGTTTCTCACAGCTGCTATCAGTCTCCGTCTTCCCTCATCTGATGTGTTGAATTTATTAAAGTCTAACTCATCCAGCGGCTCCTCTGACATCTCAATTATGTAGGAGATTGTTGAGCAGTGAGCAGGAGAGTTTCTCCTCTGAGTGTTTGTCTGATTTCACAAACTCCTGAATCTCTCTGGCCAGAGTCTGATCTTTCACCTCCAGCAGACAGAGGAACAGATTGATGGATCTTTCAGCTGAGAGACGGTCATCTCTCTTGATCTTGTTTTTAATGTACTGTGTGATTCTCCTGATGTTCTCTGAGCTCTCCCCTGTGTGTGTCAGCAGATCCTGGAAGAGTCTCTGATTGGACTCCAGTGAGACGCCCAGCAGGAACCGCAGGAACAGATCCAGATGACCATTACTACTCCTGACAGCTTTATCTACTGCTGAACTGAGCAGATCATACAGATATTTCTTAGAGCTGGACTGTAGATATTGATTATATGAATATCCTCTGTCACAAATCACCCTCAGCGGTTTTCTCTTCTTTGTTAAATGGCAGTAAAACACAAAGAAAGCAGCCAGAAACTCCTGAAAGCTGAGATGGATGAAGCTGTAGACTTTCCTCTGATGAATCACAGATTCCTCCTTGAAGATCTCAGTGCAGATCCCAGAATACACTGAGGCGTCAGTGACGTCTATGCCGCTCTCAATCAGGTCCTCCTCATAGAACATCACATTGCCCTCCATCAGCTGTCTGAAAGCCACTTCAGCAAGTTTGAGGATCACTCCTCTGTTGGACTGCAGGAGTTTCTCTGGATCTCTCTCTTCATACTTCTGCTTCCTCATGTTGATCTGAATCAGCAGGAAGTGGATGTACATCTCAGTCAGAGTTTGAGGGATTTCTGCACTCACATCTTCTTCCAGGAGCTTCTGAAGCACAGTGGAGGAGATCCAGCAGAAGACGGGTATGTGGCACATGATCTGGAGGCTTCTTGCTCTTCTGATATGGGAGATGATTCTGCTGGCTTGATGCTCGTCGCTGATTCTCTTCCTGAAATATTCCTCCTTCTGAGGCTCAGTGAATCCCTGAATTTCTGTCAGACGCTTGATGTATCTGGAGGGGATCTGATGGGCTGCTGCTGGTCTGGAGGTGATCCAGATGAGAGCAGAGGGAAGCAGATCTCCTTTCAGGAGGCTCCACATCAACACAGCCACTGATGAAGATTCAGTCACAGCACAAACTTTCTCCTCATCTGAAAAGTTGAGTGTGATTCTGCTTTCATCCAGACCATCAAAGATGAACACAACTCTACACTGCTCATAAATCTTGGGCTCCAGATCTTCAAGTTCAGGATGAAAGTCCAGCAGAAGGCTGTGAAGACTGTACTGATGATCTCTGATCAAGTTCAGCTCTCGAAATGGAAGCACAAACATGAAATCTACATCCTGATTGTCTTTTCCCTCGGCCCAGTCCAGAATGAACTTCTGCACAGAGACGGTTTTCCCGATTCCAGCGATGCCTTTAGTGAGAACAGTCTTGATCTGGGCTTTCTCCTTCTTGATCTTCTCCTCATGTCCTGCTCCAGCTGAGGCTTTAAAGATGTCATTGCAGTAGACTGGAGTGTGTTGTGAGGGTTTTGTTCTGGCTCTTTTCTCCATCTGTATAACCTCATGTTCTTCATTCACTCCTTCACTCTCTCCTTCTATGATGTAGAGCTGTGTGTAGATCCTGTTCAGGAGGGTTTGAGTCTCTCCACGGTTGATTCCCTCAAATAATCTCTCATACTTGTTCTTCATGCTGGTTTTGTGCTGCTCTTTGACTCTCTGGAGTTCATCATGTTCTGGTTGGAGTGAATCCTGCTGCAGGTGTCCAGTCTGATCATCTCTATACACACTGCAGGAACAACAACAACAACACAAAGAATCAGTGAGTGCGAGTGTAAAGATCCTCTAGTGAAGCCATGTGTGTTTTCTCTGCACCAGCTGAGAAACAACACACATATTTAATCAGATTTAATTTAAACACCACACACTGATCACTTCTACTGCTCAAAATGCTGTAAACATTTAGTAGTACTTGTCATTTATTAAATGTAACACTTCAATCATTTGATATCCTTTATTCACAATGATGCTGGATGCTCACTGAAGACATTTAAAATATTTTTAGGATGAAAATGTGAGAGAGCACAAGTGTAACACTGCCGGTACTACACCACCCAACCCGTTCAGAGCTGGGATCCAACCGGCGACCTTCCGCATGGGAGTCGGTTGCTCTACAAAGGAGGCTAAAGACCATGGCCTCTAGCGTCTGTCACTAGAGCACCTTTAGAGGTCAGAGGAGTGAGGTTTACCTGCACAACACTTACTCGCTGGCCTCAGTTACAATAAAGACTGTGTGGTGTGTTTGTCTCACAGAATTTGTTCATTCATCTCGTCTAAAATCTTTCTCTTGATTATCCACACTTTGCTGACTATTGTAAAATCCTGTAAACTCACTCTACTAACTCTAACAGTTTGAGTATTAATGCTTTATTAGTACTTCACTAATGATCAGATGTTAGTGTGTGGACATTTAGTTTTAAAGTCTCCTGTAAATGTAATACTTGTAAATGTCTGATCTTCCAGAAACACAGGATCATATAAATGCTGCAGTGTGATCATGTGTGTGTAGAGATGATCTACCTGACAGCAGGTCGTGTGTTTCCACTCTTAAATTTTATTGGTGGCTCCATAGACGCGTCACTCTTCATAGACACACAGCTGGGCTCTGCTTCTGCTCTCTTCTGATGAACTGAACTAAAACAGAAGATTAAAGTTGAGCGCTGCACACACTGCACAAACCTGATATTAATCATTGAACAGAAACTGTCTGAATGTGGAAAATATCAGCAAACACAGATCAAGGCTCATTTCTAGTAGAGAAAGCCCAACAGAAATGCAGCACTATTAGAGCAGATTAGAGCAGAAACTAATCATCAAATCACTGAATGAAGTCCACAGTGTAGGTGTGGGAGGAGCTTAATCATTTAGGTGTGTCAGTCATCATCGCATGACTATATAAGCAGCAGTATAAACTGCACTGTGTCAGCTGACCGTTATTCCCGCCTCCAGCAGCTCCCCTTATCCTCCTCCTCATCACTCAGTCTTCAGGTCACTCTTTGGGGGTTTGTCTGCAGAGCTCCAGTCCAGACTTTGAGGACAGCAAGACAAGTTCATTTACCATCATCTATCATGACTGAATGAGCAGGAGAACGTTCGAGGTTACAGAAGTAACCCTTCGGAAGTGCCATAGAGTGGATTGATTGAAATCCACGAAATGGGAGGATTCGGTTCAAAAGCCACTTGTCTGAAAGAGTATTGAACGGGCCAATGAATGCAATGAATTGGCAGCGTAAGTGTTGCGGTTAATTAAGATGGAAACACTAGGGTTAAAGCAACATTTAAAACTTATGACTCTTTATGAATGGTGGTGGCAATGGACCAGACAAACAACCAAATTATGCCAAAATAAGTGTTTATTTTACAAAGTGGATAACTGATAAACAAAGTATATACAAAATAAAGAAAACAAGAATAAATAAATGGTTGTACTAAAGGGGAGGAACAAAAGTGGCGCCAAAGAAAAGAAAATAATATAACAAAACACAGCTCTAACTAGAAACCACAATCTCTATACTATCTAATAAAAGAAAGAGAAAGAAAAGTCTTCAGCGTTTTCACGCCCTATCTAAACTACACTTCTAAACACAAACGTAAACAAAACTTACAATTAGTGGCGCACACTTCTAAACTAGTGTGTATAATACATTGGTATCTCCTACGTGTAGCAACATGTAGGTCACGTGACATCTACCCTGTTCCTCGAATCCCATGGATGTCGTATATCTGGTAATCAGAGGGAAAACACAATTAGAACTCTTTTAAAGATTGATTTCAGCACAAATGATTATAACACACATAGCACAAGAAACTATCACATAATCCAGCTATCCAGCAAAACACACAGTCAACCAACATAGCAAACACACAACAGTGAGCATGCAAAAAGCAAGCTAGCTTTCAACGGCACCGGCTTCCTTTTAAAGTGGGGAAGTCTGTTTGTGATTGGTCAATGATGATGTCATTGCAAATGGTAATGATGACTGGCATCTTGCTTAGCCAATAGGCAGATGAGCTGGGCGGACCTAAAGAAAATGATAGGTTGAGAAGGAGGGAGAGAGAAAAAAAAAATACAAACAAACACAGGCACAGATACTGAGCCGTAACACCCTGGCACTTAAAAACAAACCCCGTTTGTAACGTAAAGTTCGAGACTTTACACTCTAGAAAGGGCGTCTGCCATGACGTTGTCAATGCCTTTCTTATGACAAATCTCCAAGTTATAGTTCTGCACTAATAAAGACCATCTCATCAAACGTTGATTGTGATTGTACATCCTCGATAAGAACACAAGGGGATTGTAATCTGTATATACAAGCACAGGCAAGTTACTGGAGCCAACATAAACTTCAAAATGTTGTAAGGCGAACAACAAAGCAAGAGTTTCTTTCTCAATAGTAGAGTAATTAAGCTGATGCTTATTAAACTTTCGAGAAAAGTAACTTATCGGATGATCTATGCCATTTCCATCCTCTTGGATCAGTACAGCACCAGTACCAACAGCACTAGCATCAATTTCTAGTTTAAATGGTGCAGCGAAATCTGGAGCAGAAAGAACAGGTGTGCTACATAACAGAGTTTTCACACAGTCAAAAGCATTTTGACAAGCATCAGACCAAGCGTATGGTGTAGAGGGACTAAGCAAAGACGTTAAAGGGTTAACTACTGTAGAAAAATTCTTGCAGAAATTTCGATAGTACCCAGCCATTCCCAAGAACCGTCGCAGTTCTCGGCGAGTGGTAGGAACTGGAAATTGCGATATAGCAACCACTTTAGCTTCTACTGGACGTACTTTTCCCTGTCCAACCTCCTTTCCAAGATATGTTACTGTGGCTTGACCAAATTCGCACTTGGCCAAGTTCAGTGTAAGAGATGCCTTTAACAGTCTTGTAAAAACTGCTTTCAACAACGAAATGTGTTCACGCCAAGTCATGGAATAGACTACCACATCATCAAGGTAAGCACTACAATTTGGTAAATCACCTAGAACTAAGTTTACAAGACGTTGAAATGTTGCGGGTGCATTTCGAAGTCCAAAGGCCATAGATGTATATTGTGCAAACGAGTCAGGTGTAACAAATGCAGAAATATCTGAAGCTTTGTCAGTAAGAGGAATTTGCCAGTAGCCTTTGAGCATGTCCAATTTTGTAACAAAACGTGCTGTACCGACATTGTCTACACAATCTTCCATTCGTGGTAACGGGTAACTATCCGCAACAGTAACAGAGTTAACCTTTCTATAATCTGTACAAAATCTGTACGTACCATCAGGTTTTGGTACTAACAGACATGGCGAACTCCACGGACTATGACTAGGTTTTGCCAAATTATTCTCTAACAAGTAGTTTACTTCCTTGCGCATCAGTGATCGTTTATTCATGTTTGAACGATAAGCATGCTGCTTAATAGGATGGGCTGTACCCACATCAATATCATGTTTCAACACATTTGTTTGTGTTGGAACATCGTGAAACACACCATTGAATTGAGATATTAAAGCAATAATATCTTTTCTCTGGTCACAAGACAGATGCTTCCGATATGAATTGAGATCACTTAAAATCTCTGAATTTTTCAGCCTCACACATTGTTGAGTGTGACGAAGTACTACATCATCATCAGCATCCCGATTCTCTTCAAAAGATGACTGCGTGACTGTAATAGTAGGAACAGCAGGTTCAGTGTTTGACACAAATGAGTCTTTTCCGAATGTCTCTTTTGCATGATACGCTTTAAGCATATTTATGTGACTCACACGAGTTTTACGTTTCCGATCAGGCGTAAGAATAATGTAATCTGTTTCGCTGATTTTCTTTTGAACTACGTAGGGACCTGAAAAACGTGCCGAAAGTGAAGAGCCAGACACCGGTAGGAGTACTAGCACTTTATCACCTGCAGTGAATGATCGTACAACCGCTTTCTTATCATATTTACGTTTCATGCCTTTCTGTGCAGTAGTTAGTGCATCTTTAGCAAGGGTACACGCAGTGTGTAAGCGTTCACAAAATTCACTGACATTATCTAGTATGTTTGTTTCTGCACTGAAATCAACCGATTGCATTCGTTCTTTCAAGACTTTTAAAGGACCTCTTACCTGATGAGCAAAAACCAATTCGGCAGGACTGAATCCAAGAGATTCTTGTACCGTTTCTCGAGTAGCGAACAACATCAGAGGAACACCTTCATCCCAATCTTTCGTTGTACTCAGACAGTATTTTCGCAACATAGACTTTAACGTCTGATGGAAGCGTTCAAGTGCACCCTGGCTTTCAGGATGGTATGCGCTTGACACTCGATGTGTGATCTCAAGTGACTGTAAAGTCTGTTCAAAAAGTTTGGAGAGAAAATTTGTTCCCTGATCAGTCTGGATAACCTGAGGTAAACCAAAGGTAGAGAAAAACTTGATTAATGCTTTGATGATTACAGGTGCTGTGATTTTTCTAAGAGGTATAGCCTCTGGAAATCTAGTTGCAACACACATTATTGTAAGCAAAAACTGATTACCTGACCTTGTCTTAGGCAACGGTCCAACACAATCCACAAGTATGTGCTGAAATGGTTCGCTCACTACTGTAATAGGAATCAAGGGAGCAGGTGGAATTGTTTGATTCGGCTTCCCTACTACTTGGCATGTGTGGCAAGCGCGACAATACTTCACCACATCTTTCTTTAAACCAGGCCAAAAGAAGTGCCTTAGAATCCTATCGTAAGTTTTTGTGATCCCTAAATGACCAGCAAACTGATGATCATGTGCAAGATATAACACATGCTGTCGGTAAGGAGTCGGAACAACAATTTGATACACTGCATCCCACTCCAGATCATCATCCGCACTCGGAGACCATTTTCGCATCAATAACTTTGTCCATGAAAAATTTACTCTTCGCCTTTTTGTTCTCAACACCTGAAACAGCAGCATTAATAAGTGACACAAGAGACTGGTCTTCTTTTTGAGCCACAGTAATTCTCTCACGAGACACAGGTAACTGTAACAGATTGTTGTCAGTCACATCAACATCAGCCTTTCCTGCCGTATTTTTCAATGAATCCTCAATAGTGAAATTTTCACCAGCCAAGAGAGGAGAGAAAAATGAGTCAGCCAATTCAACTACATTTCCCATCTTGCGTGACTGTGCGCGTGTGACTGCGCATGCGGGAAAAATTTCTGGATCTGAACAAGAGTCTAATTGGATACTCACATCTGGCTTATCTAGAACCTCCAACACAGGCGTTACCTTTCCTCCAGCCAAATCATTGCCAAGGATGAAGTCAATGCCTTTTACAGGTAGTGACGACCGTACTGCAACTCGAACAAATCCTGTACACAAATCACTTGTTAAGTGTATACGATGCAGCGGTAATACAAGTTGTAATACAAGTCATCTCAATTCCTTGAACTATTACATTAGATCCACAGTAAGTGTCGCCAGAGAACTGTAGTTTGTCTGCTACAATAAAAGACTGCAGCGCACCAGTGTCCCTAAGTATTTTCACTTTCACCCTTTCATCACCATTTTCTGATAAGGAAATAAATCCTTCTAAAATGAAAGGTTTGTACTTGTCATCAATGTCATTGTTTTTGTTATTGTCAGGAATCTTAAAAGCAGTGTGAGTGTTTAAAAACCCTACGCTTTTAA